GATTATATTTTCATTTAGATTAATTTTAGATTTAGATTTTGTTCCTTTGCTTAGTTTAAATTGTTGTGTTCTTTTGACTTTTGCTTTTAAATTTTTGAAGATTTTATTTTAAATTTTAAAGGGTCTCAAGTGTCCGGAAATGTACGGGAACTGCTAGCCGTTTTTAGTGTGGGCGCGCGCATGCGCAGAAGGAGCACGTGAATTAAAATGGCTGACGTGAAAGAGGTAACACTATGATTATCCTTTAAAACACTCCTTTTATCGTGCCCTATAGAATGGGGAAAGTGAATCAAAAAAGAGAAGAAGAGGATTTGATTCAGGAGTGGATGAAAGTGAGATAGTTTTCTAGAAAATTTGATGGTTGAAAATAAATTAATAATAATTTTGTCTGCGTCATTTATCTCTCTCTCCCAAGCATACAATTACCTGATATTATTATATTACACTACATATGTATCTCTTTTTTTTCTTTTTTGTTTGATATCGCCATTTTGTCACTATAAGGCTAACAGAGCGATTAAAAAAGGAGGAAGAGAATCACACATTGACAGTGATGGGCACTTTTCTCTCATTAATTAAATCATTCGTAATTAAATTTTAATTTCTCATTTATTGCAATTCTTCACTTAATATTATTAAAATTATTTCACATCATCGATATGTAAGAATTGGGATGTACATGTGTTATGAGAATTTTTAATTTTTCTTTTTTTTACATGTTTTTTATTTTTGTACCTGCACATTTTGTGGGTGGAGTTTTCTATTTTTAACCCTTTTGCTTTTAGTGCCGGAGATGGAGCAGACGGGGGAACTGGTGACACCTGCTACCCTCCCAAAGCTGGACAGCAATCAGAGACATGCCCTCAGCTTAGCAAAGAAATACGCTCAAGAAATTACAGCAAAACATGTGAGTTAATTTAAATGGGTGTGGTCAATCAAGTGGGTGTGGTTTGTAGTTATTTTGAGTTATAGTTTGATCCAAATTTTTTCAATAAATGTACATGTATTTGTTGGTAGCTTTTTTTAGTAACGTGTTATGTCATTTTGTATCTATTTTTAGCAACAAGCGAAGCAGAGTGAAGTACAAGTTCAGCAGATGCAGTCATTGCAGGAGGCAGCCAACCAGCAAAGAGCACTACTACTCATGAGCCGGTGAAATTATTTTACTCTAAATATTTATGTTCAAAAATGACTCTTGAGAGAATTCTAATGCAATTGTTAGTACAATTAATCATTGGTACACAATTTGTACGTATTGAATATAATAATTATAAATTAACAGTATAGCCTTTTTTTATAGTGTGCATGCATGTACATGTACTTGTCATTAATTCAACTATTGTGTTACTGTATAGGATATACTAGTAATAATGATTGGTCTACTAGTATAATACCTCTGGACCAGTATCAAGAGAAACTTCAAGAAAGGAGAAGAGAATGGGAAGCATCTCAGCCTGTTCAACCTGAGGATAGAAGAGAATCTCACTGAACGTTTTCTGCTACTGAAAAACAGCATCCAGCAATATCTGCATGTAAAATAATTATTTCAATAGTATATTTTAAGTTTTTTTTTCATTGAGTAATAAATTTTATTTCTGATGACAAAAAAGTTAACAATGCCACACCTTCATAATGGCAGCCAAAGCACTAGCCTGGCTACGCAAAAGCAAAGCACCAGGTCAGTATTTTGTTTATACTTGATTATGACTCGTGTGTTGTTACTATTAGTGTATCATTCAGTTACTGTTACCTCTTGTTATCTATAGACTATCAACCAGTGGAGAGGAATAGTCACTCCACTCGTCCACTGTACGGGTAGGAGACTACCTGTACATGTGGGGTGGGGACCAGCCTGATCTCCCTGAAGTGCATAATAATGAAAAGAAGAAATCAATGTGTTCTTTGATGGAGGTGTGTCACCTAAGGACTGGTACCTAGGTGGGAGCAGAAACCCACCACTGGTAACCATCCACTGGGTGTTGTTAGCTATGCAGCTGCTGCCATTGGAAGGGAAATATTTTATTTCGGAGGGGATTGTAATCATGGTGACTGTTATCATAATAGTTTATGCAGGTAAACATAATAGTTACTGATAAATAATTATTATATATTTTTATACAGTTTTAATGTTGATACCTTCAAATGGAAGGAACTCTCTCCTACTACATCTCATCATGGTCCTAGGATGAAGCACCTCTGTGACATGATAGCAATAAAAGTGAACAGTGAGGACTATCTTGTAGTAGTCGGAGGATATGGATCAACTTCTAATAACACACCCAAACAACCTGGTGCCCAGTACAGTGAGATTGAAGATATATTTTCTATTGAAACTAATCAACGATGCAATGAGATTCATTTCTATAAACTCTCAACAGGTCAGAGCACATACAGTTTATATTAATATAATGAAGTATTGTTATTTGGTGGTTCTCCACTCAGACTGGTTGCATTGAGAATTGCTTACTTGTTTGTTCATGGTTGTCACTTCTAATTATTTGATAATATGATCAAAGAAATATCACCTAGTTTGCTCCACCCAATGCATTCCATTCACACTAATTATTATTATTGATATTTTTAGGACAATGGATATCACCGACTGTCACTGGAGACAGACCACCTCCTATTAATAGCTTCACTTTAACATCAATTAATAATTCCAGTGCTATATTATTTGGAGGTTTCACTGCTAATGGAGACAGTAACAATGTATATATTCTTAATTTTACTGATACATCAGTGGTGAGTGTATTATTATTAGTATAATTACATTAATTATTAATTAATAATGTATTGTATGTGTGTATTATTATTCACAACACTGAGTGTGTGGAGTAATTGCATTGTAAATTTTATTTTATTATTTTAGAATTGTTCAAAGTTATCTAGTCCTGGACAATCCGTACAATGGCCTAAGGAAAGAAGTGCTCATTCCAGTGTATTGATTAACACTAGCTCAGGACCACACCTACTAGTGGTGGGTGGAACAGCAGGGTTATTTGTTTCTATTTCTGATATTTGGATATTTGATACTAACAATAAATCATGGAAGGAACTGGTAAGTATATTATAATATAATAACAATACATCATAACTGGTTATTATTATGTACTAGTAATCAAGTATTGTACTTATGTATGTTATACTGTATAATGTAAATAATTAATAATTACTGAAAAAATGGTTTACATTAATAATACAACACTATATTGGTTTAAGGTGTGGCTTATAGTTTGTGGGTGTGGTTTGTAGATTTTGACATTTTCTTTAATGTAGCAAAATAAATATACAAGATTAAGAAATTGATATTTAATCTATCAATTATTAATTGTCATAGGATAATGTACCAGACGATGTCACTGATAGATGGCGTCATTCACTTTTAGTTTGGAGTGTGACTCCAACCACTAACTGGATAATTGTGTTTGGAGGAATGCAAATCATTTCACTAATAAGTGATCCAGCAGTTATTTAACTCAGTGAGTACATGAAAGTATATTAGTAACTGATATAAAATTATTATACTGTATTATACATGTACATGTACATGTACTTGTCATTAATTCAATTATTGTGTTACTGTATAGGATATACTAGTAATAATGATTGGTCTACTAGTATAATACCTCTGGACCAGTATCAAGAGAAACTACAAGAAAGGAGAAGAGAATGGGAAGCATCTCAACCTGTTCAACCTGAGGATAGAAGAGAAATAGACCGTCTGACACGTGTACTACAAGAAAGGGAAAGGGAACTAGAGGAGGAGAGAAGAGAAAAGGAACAAGTTAGAAACAGACTACAGCAACAACTTCAAGGAAGAGAACGACAACTTCAACAAGCACAGCAACAAGGACAAGAAAGAGAGAGGCAGGCCAGAGAAAGAGAGCAGGATCTTCAACGACTGCTTCAAGAAAAGGAGAGACAAATTCAAGAAGCACAGCAACTTCAGTCAAGAGAGAGAGAATCTCAAGAAAGAGAGCAACAGCTTCAAAGGCAAGTAGAAGGTGGCCAGCAAAGAGAACAGGATCTTCAACGACAGCTTCAAGAAAGAGAGCAACAGCTTGAGGAAAGAGAGAGAGAGTTCCAAGAAAGAGAGAGACAACTTGAAGAGC